CTGGGCTGAAAGGGAAAAAACGGGATTTGAATTCCCAAAATTGCTCCTGAGGGGGGAAAAAACCGGGATTTGAATTCCCAAAATTGCTCCTGAGGGGAAAAAAAATTCCCAAAATTGCTCCTGAAAGAGAAAAAAAGACGGGATTTGGATTCCCAAAATTGCTCCTGAGGGGGGAAAAAACGGGATTTGAATTCCCAAAATTGCTCCTGAGGGGAAAAAAATTTCCACAATTGCTCCTGAGGGGGGAAAAACGGGATTTGGATTCCCAAAATTGCTCCTGAAAGGGAAAAAATGGGATTTGAATTCCTAAAATTGCTCCTGAAAGGGAAAAAATGGGATTTGAATTCCTAAAATTGGTCCTGAGGGGAAAAAAATGGGATTTGGATTCCCAAAATTGCTCCTGAGGGGGGAAAAAAATTCCTAAAATTGCTCCTGAGGGGGAAAAAACGGGATTTGAATTCCCAAAATTGCTCCTGAAAGAGAAAAAGTGGGATTTGAATTCCTAAAATTGCTCCTGAGGGGAAAAAAAATTCCCAAAATTGCTCCAAGGATGGGAATAAAAAGATGGAAAAGCTGCTCCTTTGCCACCCAAATCCCACAGGGAACGTCGGAGGGACTGGGCTGGAATTCCCTGCCCTTGGAATTTTTGGGAAGGAATGGGCTGGAATTCCCTGCCCTTGGAATTTGGGTGGGAATGGGCTGGAATTCCCTGCCCTTGGAATTTTTTGGGAAGGAATCCTTGGCTGGGGAAGGGACTGGGCTGGAATTCCCTGCCCTTGGAATTTTTGGGAAGGAATGGGCTGGAATTCCCTGCCCTTGGAATTTTTGGGAAGGAATGGGCTGGAATTCCCTGCCCTTGGAATTTGGGTGGGACTGGGCTGGAATTCCCTGCCCTTGGAATTTTTTGGGAAGGAATCCTTGGCTGGGGGAGGGACTGGGCTGGAATTTTGGGTGGGATTTGAGAATTCCAGAGGTTTTTTCCTCATTCCCAGGGTGTTTTTTTTTCCCCCCCCTCCGCAGGGAGGAGGAATTCGTGGATCTGAGCAAGGAATTCGAGCCCAGCCTGGTGAACAGCACCATCTACATCCTGTCCATGGCCATGCAGATGGTCACCTTCGCCATCAACTACAAGGTTTGGCAGCCGGGAATTCCCGGGGGATAATCCCTTGGGATGTTCCTCTGGGATGTTCCCTCCTTTCCCACCCCTTTCCCTCTTTTCCCCCTCCCAGAATCCTGGCCTGGGTTTGGATTTCTCCTCTGAGGAGTCCTTGGGAATCTTTGCCTGTTTGGGAATCTTTTCCCATTTCCCCTTTGGGAATCTTTTCCCATTTCCCTTGGGAACTTTTTCCCATTTCCCTTGGGAACTTTTTCCCACTTCCCTTTGGGAATCTTTTCCTACTTCTTTTGGGAACTTTTTCCCACTTCCCTTTGGGAATCTTTTCCTACTTCTTTTGGGAATCTTTTCCCATTTCCCTTGGGAACTTTTTCCCACTTCCCTTTGGAAATCTTTTCCCACTTCCTTTGGGAATCTTTTCCCATTCCCCTTGGGAATCTTTTCCCATTTCCCTTGGGAATCTTTTCCCATTTCCCTTGGGAATCTTTTCCCATTTCCCTTGGGAATCTTTTCCCATTTCCCTTGGGAATCTTTTCCTACTTCTTTTGGGAATCTTTTCCCATTTCCCTTGGGAATCTTTTCCCATTTCCCTTGGGAACTTTTTCCCATTCCCCTTGGGAATCTTTTCCCATTTCCTTTGGGAACTTTTTCCCATTTCCTTTTGGGAACTTTTTCCCATTCCCCTTGGGAATCTTTTCCCATTTCCTTTGGGAACTTTTTCCCACTTCCCTTTGGGAATCTTTTCCCATTTCCCTTGGAAACCTTTTCCCATTTCCTTTGGGAATCTTTTCCCCCTTCCCTTGGGAACCTTTTCCAGTGTCCCATTCCCTCCCATTCCCCTTTCCCTTCCCATCCCCCCCATCCCTTCCCTCCCCATCCCCCCCCAATCCCTCAGCATTCCCGCTGTCATTCCCAGTGCCATTCCCGCTGTCATTCCCGCTGTAATTCCCGCTGTTTTTCCAGGGCCACCCGTTCATGGAGAG